CCGGAGGATAGTGTTTGGCCAGATCCCAGGCCACCTCCGTCATGAACCAGCGGAAGCTCCTGCAGCTCAGCCGGCTCCTCAGCTGCTTCTGCGCGGACACGTCTCCGGCGGACAGGTGCCGGTACTCCGGCCGCCGCTGGTAGATAAACTCTGCATACTCGTCCATCCACACCTCGGCCACACGCTTCAGATTCTGCAACACAGCGGCGGATCACACACTTTCATACATGTGTTACTCAGTCTCAGGCGTAAAGCTGCGTCAGCAAACTAGGCCTTCCTTTCACATCCCTCACTATTTTTAAGGATTCATCCAATCACCAACAATCCTTTGCACACATACCAATTCACAAAAAAAGAATTAGCAGAAAACGAATCAGCGCTGAGCTTATCCTAATTCATCATAAACTTCAAAAAAGAAACATGATTTACACAATGATACACACAATGTAAAGCACTGGAGATGCAGACGGCTGTCATTCACTGAACTGCATCCTAGCGTCTCGTTCTAGTGTGTAATGCTGAGGACCCAGCTTTCCGTCTCAGAAACACCCCAGATCTGCACTGCTGTAGCTGCAGAAATGACCAGAATATATTTCAACAGATTCTGGCCCGTGAAACAGCTCTAATGCAGTAAACCGGGTCAGATCTCAGCGTGACCCGGATCTGACGCTCAAACTCACCCTGGCGAGATTCACTCCGCCTGGCACTTTATAGGGCATGAATTTCCTATAGATGTGACCGACTCGAGAGCAGGGAACGTCCTCCATACGACCGCCACACATCCACACCTCAGAGAGCAAGAGAACAGGCTTTCAGACGAATGAAGGAAAACACAGGAGTACTACAGACAGCAGACTCAGATCAGACAAACTGTGTGCTTCTGCTTTTGCAGTTGTACACAGAGTAATTATGTGTATGATTAGGGATGAAATATGTGTTTCTAAACATATGTCACGGCATCAGATGTGAGCAGAAACAGTTAATAATGATCACTGTGAAGCACTGCTAAACTGTGACACACATCTTGGAAATAGAGCGTGTTTTCCTGAAACCACTAGGGCTCGCTGTATCTGACTTTACTGTGAATGTGAATGTGACCCTGCAGCACAAAAGCAGTGTTAAGTCGCTGGGGGATATTTGTAGCAATAGCCAACAATACATTGTATGGGTCACAATTATACATTTCTCTTTTATGCCAAAAATCATTAGGATATTAAGTAAAGATCATGTTCCATGAAGATATTTTGTACATTTCCTACCGTAAATATATCAACACTTAATGTTTGATTAGTAATATGCATTGCTAAGAATTTCATTTGAACAACTTTAAAGATGATTTTCTCAATATTTAGATTTTTTGCACCCTCAGATTCCAGATGTATAAATCTCAATTTAGAAAAATTGACTGGTTTTGCTGTCCAGGGTCACATGTGTTAATATACATGTTCTGAATCAACAGAAATATAATGCACATGGTCGCTGGTTTTATTCTCCATCTCAGATGCAAGGTTTTTTTCTATTGTTGTTCGTTATCACAGAAGCAGCTTGAAATGAAAAGCAGCGAAGCTTAATGTGCATCGACGTCTATACGTTAATTAAGGCTACTGTATTGCCCAGGATAATGACACAGCAACTGTTGCCGGTGTAACCATCATACCAGTATCAGATGTATTTGCGCTGATGGCGAGTGTAAGCAGGTTTATATCATAACCATCACCTTGAAGGAGATCTCGTACTGCTCTCCTCCCCAGATCTCCAGACCCGTGTCATATCCTCCCAGCTCCCAGAACCACTTCCTGTCCACAGCGAAGAGACCGCCTGCCATCACCGGAGACCTCACAGAGGAGACAGAAACACGGCTCAAACTAAACTAACACCACAGAGAAACACAGATTACAGAAATACACCTTTAATTTCTTCATACGATGAAAGTCAGTGGGGTCATAATAATCCCAGAGAGCCTGTTCACTCGTGTGTTTTCACTGACTGCTGTAAATACCCTCCACAGACAGATCTGCTTGCTGAAGCCACAGATGTATATTTTCCTCTCCCTAAAGAGCAATAAATAAAAGTGTGAGCATGTTTTACTGCTAGCCAGATGCACAGCGCTACTGTAACACATGCCTCACACAAACAAACCAGATCTCTTAAACGACGCTAAGAGTGCTAGAGCCGGAATGACACATGTAACATCTGCTGCTGAGTTTGTGAAGTCGGCTCCACTGAATGTGTGTATAGCGTGGATATCAATGACTGGATTTATATCGGTTTGGATGAGACACAGTTACGTGGCCACGTGTCAATTAAACGTATCAGATAACGACACGATTGCTCGATGCAGGAAGTGAAGTGTGAATATTCAAAACATCTTCCCTCCAGAATGTCAGAAATAAAGTGTTTTATGGAGAAAAAAACAGCATGCAGTAACACACACACACACGCACTCACTCACTCACACACAGACACACACACTCTCTCACACACACTCACACACACACTCACACAGACTCTCACACACTCTCTCACACTCACACTCTCTCACTCACACACACACACACACTCTCACACACACACACACACACACTCTCACACACACACACACACACACTCTCACACACACACACACACACACTCTCACACACACACACACACACACTCTCACACACACACACACACACACTCTCACACACACACACACACACACTCTCACACACACACACACACACACTCTCACACACACACACACACACACTCTCACACACACACACACACACACTCTCACACACACACACACACACACTCTCACACACACACACACACACACTCTCACACACACACACACACACACACACAGACACACACACTCTCACACACACACACACAGACACACACACTCTCTCACACACACTCACACACACACTCACACAGACTCTCACACACTCTCTCACACACACTTACTCACACTTACACACACACACACACGCACTCTCACACACACTCTCACACACACACACACACGCACTCTCACTCAGACACACTCACTCAAACGGCTCGCTGGGGTCTGGTTTCTGCAGCTGAGCTGGGATAGGGATGCGTTTGTAGTACATCTCCCAGTCGAAAGCACCTCGCATCGCATCGCCGGCCTGCGTCTCGTAGCCGAAGTTATCGTGGTCGATCACATCAATCATCGGACACACGATCGTTTTCTGGTTCTCTGCGATGCGATCTGAAAACCAATCATTCACTGCCATCAAATAACAGCTTCAGGAGCTGAACAATCAAGTCAGGTCTCCTTCATTTCTACAGCGCTTTATGCAGTGCAGACTGCTTCAGAGCATCTTCACAGTAATAACAGTGTTGATGTTAATGCTCTCACCCAGTAACGGCGGCAGCCAGTTGACATTGGCCTCGCAGTGTGAGTCCAGGAACGTGATGACCTGACCCTTCGCAGCCGCGGCGCCCAGCAGTCTGGTCCGGATCAGACCCTCACGCTTCTTAGTGCGCAGGATTCGAACCTTCGGCAGCTGCACCATGTACTCCTCCAGAGGAGCCTTCAGATGCTCTAGAGGACACAGAGTCAAGTCAAGTCACCATTATTTATACAGCGCTTTTTCCAATGCAGAATGTGTCAAAGCAGCTTTACAGTATTAAACAGGGAAATCACACAACTGTTGGCTTTTATTCTTCAGCAGCTTCATTCCTGTGTGACATTACAGCGCCGGATACTGCCGCTTCTCACGTGAACCATCCAGATGCAGCAAACTGAAATGTGTGGCACAAATTCTGTTCCTCAAATAAAACCATCGTGTGACCTTTGAAGACTGTCGATAGAGCTTAAAATATTGAACCCTCTTCCTTTCTCAATGTTGAATCCACCGATGAAAACACTTCAGATGTGATTCGATCATAAAACATAAGCTGTGATTGAGTTAGTCTCTTTCATGATTCTTATATGATTTATTTCAGTCAGATACAGCACAATATTTTGCTCATTTTGAGGCAATCATTTGACTAGAGGAATCCCGAAAAGTGGCTTGGATGTCAGTGATTTGTGAGATATTGTGATGCATTGTGATGCACTGTGATATATTGTGATGCACTGTGATATATTGTGATGCACTGTGATATATTGTGATGCACTGTGATATATTGTGATGCACTGTGATATATTGTGATGCATTGTGATATATGATATATTGTGATGCATTGTGATATATTGTGATGCACTGTGATATATGATATATTGTGATGCACTGTTGTGACGCATTGTGATATATTGTGATGCGCTGTGATATATTGTGATGCACTGTGATATATGATATATTGTGATGCACTGTGATATATGATATATTGTGATGCACTGTGATATATGATATATTGTGATGCATTGTGATATATTGTGATGCACTGTGATATATTGTGATGCATGATATATTGTGATGCACTGTGATATATTGTGATGCAAAGTGATATATTGTGATGCAAAGTGATATATTGTGATGCACTGTGATGTCTTTGAGTCACAGCTGACATACTCAGCCTTAATACTGTATATACAAACATGTTATTCATCAAATGTGCTATCTTCACAGATGATTCAGTCCATATTTCTATGTTATAAATAAATGTCGTTTTTCTGCAGTATTTGTGGTGCCAGTGTTTCAGTGTTTGTCCGGGCCGGTCCTGACTTCAGTGATGGGACCCCGCATCAGTTCCAGACACGAATATAGTGTGGACGAGTGAGACGAAACCCAAATACTGAAATGTGTTTTCATGCTTGATTAAAACAAGAGACAGCCCTCATAAGCGGACTCATGGAGAGAGGATTATGGCTGTCATAATCTGACGCTTATGCAAACATGTGACGCAGTACAAACGCAGGGACAAACCAGGATCATCCCAGAAACAGCAGCTCACAATCTGTCACACAAATCAAATACGCTGGCTGACTTACACGAGATGACAGGTTAAGACTGACATACAGCCCGGAAACATCATGTTTCTGATGATGATCCTCATGCACATGCGCTGTTCAGACTCACTCTCACTGAATGAAGTGCTGACGGACACAGAGCGACACGTACCTTTGTCGCTGAAGTCGTCCACGAGGATGATCTCGGCAATGAGCTGCGGCGGCGAGCGGTTGAGGATGCTGTGAACGGTGCGCAGCAGAGACGACCAGCCCTCGTTATGGAAGGGGATGATGATGCTGGTGTTGGGAAGATCTTCTGTGTACAGCTTCGTCTTACAGCTGTGACACACAAACACAGCAGCATTCAGCGTGACACACACACTCATGACGGACATACTGTCACAGCTTGATGCTATGCTTTCCTTTGGAACTATTTTCAATTATTGCCACACTTAAGTTACTGATATAAAAGATACAAACCTCTGCATTAAATCTATAGCACACTGTGATCATGTGTAATTGTCTAATTAAAAACATCAGTCACATTCATTCTCACATTGACGAGCGCTGTTAGACTGACACAGGCCAACCTAAAACTTCAAAAGCATCAAGAATATGACATTTTTTGGATCATTTTAGCTATTTGTAGTGATTGGGGAGGACTCGACATCTATGGAGGTGAGGCTAGAAGAACGAGTGCCCTGGTCATCAAAAATGCTGCCAGCTCTCTTTTCCCAACCCTTCACTCACTGTCTGGTTAAACTGGTTTGTTCACTACTGTGTAAATATATTTTGACGTGGAACCGGAATCGTAGTTGACAAGTCAAACATGACACATATCAGACGTCTCACAGCGACCGCAGCATGCAACCGTTCACTATTAAAACTTAAATAGAAGAATGTTGGTTTCCAAATAAATGTGGAAACCAATATAATCTTTTTGAAATTGAGATTTATACATCAGCATTGAAAATCTGGAATCTGAAGGTGCAAAAAAAATCTAAATATTGAGAAAATTACAAAATTACTACAACAGGCCAACAATGTCTTTGATATGTGACCCTGGAGCACAAAACCAGTCATAAGGGTCAGTTTGTGAAAGGATTTGAATAAATAAGCTTTCCATTGATGTATGGTTTGTTAGGATAGAGATACAACTATTTGTAAATCTGGAATCTGAGTGTGCAAAAAAATTTAAATATTGAGAAAATCATCTTTAAAGTTGTTCAAATGAAGTTCTTAGCAATGCATATTACTAATCAAACATTAAGTTTTAATATATTTACGGTAGGACATTTACAAAATATCTTCATGGAATATGATCTTTACTTAATATCCTAATGATTTTTGGATATAAACACATAAAGCCTGCTGTAGTCATAGTGTACTACTGTTGTGCTCTACACAGTAACTCAAGCAGAGTATCTGCTGCTGATGAACAGTAATGCGTGGAGACTGCAGGAATCGTGACAGACGTGTGCTGCAGTGGTTTAGATTGAAGCGGAAGACGAGAGCGGCTCACTTCGGGTGTCTGATGTCAGGCAGGGATCTGTTGAGGGCGATGCGATTGCTGACGAATACGTTGAATCCATTCTCCCTGTAGGCCTGGTCCACGCGGTCCGAGTCGGTCAGCGGATACGGCCTGCCCTGCTCACCGACACCTTCAACACACCACAGATTCACCATCACACTCAGCTGCAGTCCAGCTCTATCACGCTTCATGCATTACGTGACGCACCTGAACGTGCCGCTTCACTCTTCATCAGTGCATAGTCATGCCAGTCCTTCTTCCGAACGCCGTCGTTCTGCACTTTGTGTCTGTTTATTCTCTGAAAACACATAAAGCATGTGATGATTCACCATCACACTCATCTGCAGTCCAGCTCTATCACGCTTCATGCATTACGTGACGCACCTGAACGTGCCGCTTCACTCTTCATCAGTGCATAGTCATGCCAGTCCTTCTTCCGAACGCCGTCGTTCTGCACTTTGTGTCTGTTTATTCTCTGAAAACACATAAAGCATGTGATGTTATGAGGAAGACTGTGTGCTAGTCTTTGTAATGCATTAGTTGTGAAGAAAGTACAAGAGGACGGAGAGAAAGAACAACCCTTGAACCAAACAAAACACCTTTTACAAAACACCAGAACCGAGGATGAATGAATGAATGAAACTATGCTACTTTGTAGTGAGGGCCAGTTCTTAGAACTATGTTACCTGTATAAAGAGTCTGTATGAAACGCTTAGCAAGACTGAAAATGATGTCTGATTTGCTATTTCTGTTCTGTTGAAGTATGATGATTCATCAGTGGAGCTGTAAAGGGTCATGAATCCTCTCTCGTTCTGTGACAGGACTTCCTGAGCTGGTAGTTTGTCCCAAAGCTTCTTCTACACACTCAAAAGGATCTATGCTTTCTTCGCAAAAAGAGTACATACTTCAGCGTGAAGAAAGTACAAGAGGACGGAGAGAAAGAACAACCCTTGAACCAAACAAAACACCTTTTACAAAACACCAGAACCGAGGATGAATGAATGAATGAAACTATGCTACTTTGTAGTGAGGGCCAGTTGTTAGAACTATGTTACCTGTATAAAGAGTCTGTATGAAACGCTTAGCAAGACTGAAAATGATGTCTGATTTGCTATTTCTGTTCTGTTGAAGTATGATGATTCATCAGTGGAGCTGTAAAGGGTCATGAATCCTCTCTCGTTCTGTGACAGGACTTCCTGAGCTGGTAGTTTGTCCCAAAGCTTCTTCTACACACTCAAAAGGATCTATGCTTTCTTCGCAAAAAGAGTACATACTTCAGGCCAGGGCGTAGTGTAAGTAGGTGAATTGGGACGCAGTTTTCTGCAACGTGTCTGATTTTTAAATGCAAACACTGTTCACAGCCACACCTCTTTTAAAAACAAGCACGTCCCAAAACCTTGGCAGTGAAGCAGAGCAGTGTGGTAAATCGGAGGAGTGAATGGTCCGGAATGGAAAAGCTGTTTGTGTGCACGAGGTGACATGAAATGGTTCTTCCAGGTGTAATAGTGTGTGTGGGTGAAGCGCCGCTGACAGTGAATGTGTGTGAGGGATGGATGCACCTGCTGAAGCTCGGGAAACAGAGGCGCTATCAGACCAGCGGCCTGGACCAGAGCCAGCCGAGAGCCTGAACAACACCGCCTTTCAACAACACCACGCACAGCCTTCCCTATGAACACCAGCAGCACTACAGGAGCATATATATTATATTTATAATCCTTATGTCATTCCAAACCCATATGGGCTTCACCTATATAAGATGATAAGCCTTCCACAGCCCTGTACGTATTTGACTGTACACACTACTGTACAGATCGGACTGCTGATGTCTCCCAGGTTTAAAAAAAAAGTACACTTCTATAATGTACTTAACTCTTTCCCTGCCAAACATGTGATTTTCCAGGTTTCTGTGTTTTCGCTGTTATACGCTAGGGGGCGCTATTACGCATCTCCTGAATGAGTGTGGAAAGTGCTGATCAAAAACACAGACCAGGAAGACGCAGAAACCAGCGATCTCATATGTAAGCATATGCGTATGAAAAATAACACGATCATCAACACTAACCGCATATAAATGAAAACTGCCTAATGTGAAATGTGGATCCAGAAAGTGGTGAAGGCCTGTGTAAGCTTTGGGAGTGTTCCCAAAATAGCACTGAACGTAAACAAGGTGTGCTGTTCAGCTGCACCATGCAGAAACATTGTCTACGTTGTTTACGCTTTGATCTGATATCATTCCTTTTGTTGTTGTAATAAAAACAGACCTAAGCGAAGAATAGCATTTAAAATGACTTAAAATACATATATAATAGCAACGAGGCAATAATAATTAGTTCTAATAAAGTATCAAACGCAAGTAATTATATGATTTTATTGAACAAAACTGTAGAGCTAAACTACGTTTCACATAATAACACATGCCAGCGCCAGCGGCTTGACGATTGTTTTACACTTGACTGAAATAACAAGCATTATATCCCGTCACACATCATCCCACCCAGCTACTGATGAAGAGGAGAGAGATGGGATGCTTTAGGCCAGACACACTGATAGTCCCACATCACTTCTGACGTGCTGTACTGAGTATTCACTCAGAAATAAGGAAAAAGATACTGCAAGTCACATTTTTGTGTAAATGATTGCTTTAATTTACTCATAAATCAAAAACTGTCATTGTAAAATTCATTCAAATTTCCTAAAAGAAATGGCCTAATTCTTTTTATGACAGGTCCATTACAACACAATCAAGTAAACAAAAAATCATCTAGTTGTGTGGTTTTATTGATTTATTTTCCCCCAAATCAAATGAATGGCTTTATTTGTCCTTATGCTCAAATCTAAAGAAGTGATTCAAATGCTATCTGAAAAATAATCAATATTCCTCTAAAGCAGACAATAGTGCTAAACAACCACTGAGAGAGCTGATTTATGCTTTTCTTTAGTTTTCATATTTAATGTTCAGGTTTATATTAATAATTCTATTTAACCCAAGAACCATATGAACAAGTTTAATGCTTGTTTTATCTGAATGTGAAAAATACTGGACTAGTAATTACACATCAGAGACGTCTAAAGTCAATTTGTTATCGGTCTGTGAACTTTGTTCAAAGGAAGCATATAATAACTGATCAGCCAATAGCTTACCAGCACGTTGATAAGCGCGTCTACAGCGCGATAAAGCGACGCGACGAAACTACAACGCGTTCCTCATCTGACGATCCGGCGGAACTTAAAGAAGTCAAAGACTGTCCTCGCCACGTAACACTGCCTGAAAGAGTTTCTGCGGCGATGTCGTAGACTCGGAGAGTATGAGCGCTGTGGTACCTGTAGGTGCGAGTGTCCGGCGGCGTCCGCAGAGCTGTCCAGCACTCGCTCCAGAGACGCGGACCACCAGCCGACGCTCGGCAGCAGCAGAAACACCAGCAGCAGCAGCAGCGCGACCTGCAGCAGCCTCTTCTGCTTCCGCCGCATCTCCGAGTCTCTGCGTAGCGCTTCTGTGTCGTTACATGTATCCACACAAACTAACTTCTCCCTCCCTCTCTCTCTCTCTCTCTCCCTCTCTCTCTCTCTCTATGGGGAAATCTAAGGGGTTTTGATATGCTTTTATTGATTTTTCAAAAATGTCTAGTTTTTTAATTATTTCATTTTGATCAGAGTTTAGAATTTCAGTTGAGCTATATAATTCTTGGAAATGATTCTTCCATATCTCTCCATCTTGGATAGCCAGATCTTCTTGATTTGATTTGTTTAATAATTTCCATTTATCCCAGAATTAGTTTGAATTAATTGATTTTTCGATCTCTTCAAACTGGTCTTGCAGAAACCGAGCTCCTTCAGTTATCTGAATTATTTGACTTAAATAAGACACTGGATTAGAAGTCAATCATTGGAGTCATTCCCTAATATATCTGAAAAATCCCTATTTGAAGACAAACTGCTCGATATCAGACGTGCCTCTACAAAGGGTTCCATAAACAGAATTCTTATTAATCTTCCAGCATACCAAAGATTTTCAACAAAGCAAAAATGGGAATCGGATCTGGAGTGTTCTTATGATGATAGTGATTGGTGTACTCTTCTAGAAAAGTCACAAACTGTATTGGTATCCACCAAACTTTTAAAGGGGTCATATGATGTTGAAAAGCGAGGTGTGCTGTGATTGGCCAGCTATCCAGTGCGTTGTGATTGGCCGAATACCTCAAGCGTGTGACGGAAATGTTACGCCCCTCACCATACTGCGCTGCCCTGTCCGGCCGGAGCGACGAGACAAAAACATTAAAACCCATTATAAACCAGGCATTTGTTGCATCCAGTGGGGACATAATTACGGATTATAATGACTTATACTGTCTTTTTACACGTTGCATTGCGCCGCATAAACATAAAACCATCTCTGCATTTGTGATCGGAGAAATGACAAACAACAAGCGCTACTCTACACTGCTCAAAACTCATGTTTGAATCGTCAGTGGCAAATCCTTTAAATATAAAAAACGTACTTAATGAGTAGAAGAAATGAAAGGTCAGTTCCTATAAGGGACGTCCCATACTATAAGCACAACTCATATGAAACCATTTTACTGCAGCATTTTTGAGATATGGGACCATATGGCGCTTTAGATAGCTATAAAGACCCCATTTCTAATAAGTAGAAAAAAACAATGGTCAGTTCTTACATATGTCGCGCATGAGAACTGACCATTCATTTATTCTACTTATTAGAAATGGGGTTTTTATTGCCCTTTAAAGCGCCATATTGTCCCACATCTCAAAATGCTGCAATAAAATGGTTTTATATGAGTTCTGCATTTAGTATGGGATGTCCTGTATAAGAACTAACCATTAGCATTTTCTACTTACTAGAAATTGGGTCTTTATTGACCTCTGAAATAGAATATGGTCCCATATCTCAAAAATGCTGCAGTAAAATGGTTTCATATGAGTTGTGCTTATAGTATGGGACGTCCCTTATAGGAACTGACCTTTCATTTCTTCTACTCATTAGAAATGGGGTCTTTATAGCCCTCTAAATCGAATAATTTCCCATTTCTCTTTTTCTAGGAATCCTGCTATGATTTGAAAGGTCGAAAAATACAGTAACACACATCCGTCAAAACACCAATAAATAACACGCATATTAAAGCAGGAGTACAAAAAAAAGAAATTGAGAAATGTCATCTTGTTACATTATATCTCAATTCTGGGCGAATAGATGAAAAGTGCGTTCCTGTAATTACCGTAATCACCGTAATACGCGCGCACGCCGCGGCTGGCTTGACCGCGGTCACAGGACGGATATTAGCAGATCGACTATAGAGAGAGAGAGAACTGGAAGATAAAAAACTGGGAAATATCAGAGGAACAAAACATTAAAAAGAAGGGTTACGAGCAGGCAAGAGGTAGCGCTGGAGAGAACTGAAGGAGCCGGACGGGCTCGAATCAGAAGGTGAGTAATGATTTTACATTGTTACACACAACTTAACCGTGTTGGGTTTTGTCTGAATATGCTTGTGATCGTCGTTGTGCCAGGGTTGTGTAGCTACACACGTGTGGAGCGGAGATATTAAAGTAGGGGCGAGGTCCTGTCGGGGGATGGGCGTGTTTTCAAATATCAACATTGTTTGGCAAAAATCGCTTAGTGCACCTTTAAGTAAAAAAACCAGACGAATGCCTTAAAATATATAATCTGATTAATGTCTTGAGGTCCGGTGAATTACCGCATCACCATCTCGGGTGTGCATTATTTTTCTAATAATTCAATGACCCAGGGTCAATTATTCCTCACATAATATATACTTTCAAAGCAGATGCTAGTGTTTTTGAAGGAAACGTGAGGAGTGCTCACTCCAACACTGCTTACAGGGGTCATATGATGCTGCTAAAAAGAACATTATGTTGTGTATTTGGTGTAATGAAATGTGTTTATGCGGTTTAAGGTTAAAAAAACACATTATTTTCCACATACTGTACATTATTGTTTCTCCTCTATGCCCCGCCTTTCTGAAACGCGTCGATTTTTACAAAGCTCATCGGTCTGAAAAGCGAGGTGTGCTGTGATTGGCCAGCTATACAGTGCGTTGTGATTGGCCGAATACCTCAAGCGTGTGACGGAAATGTTACGCCCCTCACCATACTGTGCTGCCCTGTCCGGCCGGAGCGACGAGACAAACACATTAAAGATGTCATATGATGCGATTTCAAGTGTTCCTTTCTCTTTGGAGTGTTACAGGCTCTTGGTGCATAAAGAAGATCTGTAAAGTTGCAAAGACTAAAGTCTCAAATCCAAAGAGATATTCTTTATAACAGTTAAGAGTCAGCCACGCCCCCCTAAAACGGCTCGTTCTAACACGCCCCCACATGTCTACATCACTATGTGGGAAGATTTGCATAACGCCGCGCAAATGTTCACGCAAAGAAAGAAGGCGTAACTTTTATTCTCGCTGTAGTATTGTTGCCGCTGCCGCCGTGTCGTGAAGACGCTGTGTGTGTCGCTGTGAAAGTGAAACTACTTTGTTTGTTCTTCCAAAAGAGGACTTGACTAGAAATCAGTGGTTAAGTTGTATTTACAACACTGTTCCAGAACACTTCAACCCAAATATTCAGATGTGTGCAGCACATTTTATGGAGGACTGTTTCCTGATCACATTTCATTACACCAAATACACAAAATAATGTTCTTTTTAGCAACATCATATGACCCCTTTAATAGTAAAATGAGCAGTAAGATCTATGAATTAAAAATGACCACGTCTGTTTTTTGAAAAGCCAGGCTTTAAGACTTTGTCTGAAGGAATGATATATGGTACAATTTCTTAATTCAGTTGGAAGTGTATTCCACAGCTGAGAAGCTCTTACAGAAAAGCGTGATTGGCTAAAGGAGGTGGACCTGAAGGGAAGTTCATAGTCTCCTCTCTGAGTTGATCTTGTAGATCTAATGTTTAAATTTTTCTGCTTAATAAAAATACTAAGTGGTGGAGGAGCTTTTCCATTTACAATCTTAAACATCAGACAGGCATCAGTGTATTTTATTAAATTTTCCCAACTAAGAATATCATATTTGCCCAGAATATTGCAGTGATGGTAAGTATTGGGTTTTTTATTATCTAATACTTTATATGCCTGCTTACAGAGAGAGAATAGGCTTTAGTGTTGTTCCTTTAGCTTGAGACCAAGTTGTCATACAGTATGTTAAGTGAGGAATAATCATTGAATTTAATATCTAATTTTGCTGCTGTAGTTGTTAGACAGCTTCTAGATTATATTTAGTTATTTGCAATACTTTCTTCACTTGTTTTTTGAAGGATAAAGTGGAATCAAGGATAATACCAAGATATTTAGCATAAGAGACTACCTGAAGGATCTCTCCAGACACATACATTTTGGGATCACAGTCAGTTACAGAGTGCATCTTTGTGAAAAACATACGTCTTCTTTACATTAAGAACCAGATGTGACTCATTAAGCCATTTATTTACATTTATCATTGTTGCACTAAGTTTAGAAGTAGCTAATTCTTTGGTTTTAGCATGGACACATGGACATATATCATCGGCGTACATCTAAACATCACACCCTGTACATTCAGAGGGAAAATCATTTATATATAAGCTGAAAAGCTGAAAAGCAAGGATGGATCCCTGAGGCACAATAAAAGGTCTAAAAGCTCAACTAGTGCTATTAGTAAAATTCTTTCTATAATTTAGGTGGTGTTACCAGCATCGATGTTACATTAATAAACATTATCTCTTCATGCAGCTCATGTTCAGAGCCCAAAACAGCAATTACACAGAAGCAACATTTCATTATTTTTGCTTGATCTCAGTGCAAAGATTTTGATTTTTTATTTGGAAGTTAAAAACACGAAGGAAAGTGAAGAGTCTGGTTTTAAGTTGGTGTTTAGATTTCTTAACTAGAACAGAGTGTTGTAATCATTTCTGTAAGAGGACGTTCCTTTCCTGGAAGGGTAACGCCCGGTTAAAAAATAAAAAACCCTTCCTGTTAGTAGAGACTGTATATAAAGGTCCAGAAGTGCTGCTCATACAGAGCACTGATCAGAGCTGAGTGACTGACTGACACTGCTGCAAAAACTCTACAGTCAGCTAAATACAAACAGGTAAGATACATTTATTTTTGAGAATATAGACAATGCTGATTTCTGCTGTATTAAATGAGATAATATGAATACCTCTGGGATAAACGGTTTTTGTTTTGGTTGAAAGATGGCGGAAACTTCCACTGCAGCTGCTACAGAAACTAAACACTAAAACACTGTAACTGTGATCTTTAATGAAGCCACTACTGAGGGTCCAAATACATTTTTGTCTAATTATGACCAGTATATCTATTTAAATTTTTTTAAACAATCTATTTTTGGGGAAATGTTTTGTGCTTTCTTCAAAATAAATACCACTTGGTTTAACATGTTGTTTTCAAATGCAGTAAAATTCATTGATTTGTTTGTGTGGCTTAATTTCCCAAGTACTTATTAGTGTTCATGTAGAATGGAGGAAAACAGCCCTATAAAAGCACAGCACTTCTTCTATTAAAAGGTTTTAGATAC